AGACGGAAGCCTTCAGAGGTTTGAAAGAATTACCTTGCCAAGAAGGCTGGACAAAATGAAAACAAAAACAAACGCCTTTGATGGTTTGAGTCTTACTGCGACTATGGCTCCTCAAACTCACATAAGCAGAAAGTGGGCAGTGAAAGTTCATGGTCCCTAAGAGGATATCCTTTCTAATACTCTGAAGTTCCCTTCTGCTGTGAACACATAAAATAAAGAACAAGAAAGCCCTCCCAGAGGACAGAAGCACAAAAATTGATGGATAGGGAAGTTCCTTCTAGGCTACACAGAAGCGACAGGATTGTATCAAGAACCGTGCCCCATGCCAGGGCAGAGGCTTGCAATTCCTGCCTGTAAGGATTTTATTATTGCTACGGACCAATGACTGCTGTATGTACAAAACCATTCCCTTTTTTAATAGGGACATTTTTGTTGTGGTTATCTTATTCCTGCTTCAGCATTATGAGTGAGTGTAATGTAGGATGCCAGGAAGGGTAGGAAGATGGTAACTTGTCTTTTACTTTGTCAAACCATACAAAGCTACCTTCAGACGTGGTAGAATAGATTGCACATAACCAGGAGAACTTGGACTTTAAACTTGATGTGGTATCTGGGTAGGTCTTAAATTGTCTCCTCTAGGGAGAAAAGAAGGTATGTTCTCAACCTTCGTCCCAGGAGCCTTGACTCAAGATACACACAAAGACTTCATTTCCCATCCTTCCTTGCAGCTGTTGGTAGTCACATGACTGCATTTAGCCAATAGAATGTGAGCAGAGACGGAAATAAGGATATGAATGGATATTTGGGGAACAGAATGATGGACTAGGACAGAGACTGCTGGCATCACACCAGACTTCATGTTCTATTCTGCCTTTTGTATATTCAGCTAGATAGTATCTCCTAGTCTCCTTTACAATTAAATGGGGCAACATGACTGAGTTCTAGCCAATGGAATGTGACTCAAAGTGACAGGTACCAATTACGGGGCTGGCCTATAAACACTTCTCATGTGTGATGAGGCTCCAGGTTCTTTCCTTAATGGCTGCGTGGAACCAAGCTCCCCAAATGACCCGAACTACTAGGAACTGCAATATGAGCAGGAAACAAGCTTAGGCTTGTCTTAACCCGATGTATATTTTGGGGTTGATGTATTATTCCAACTAACGTTACTCTAAATAATACACTGATTGTCCCCTTCTGTTTTCCCAATTCCCTAGGCCACTAATCAATATTGAACATATAAATATGCATTTAATTACAATTTTACCAATAGTTGAATGGCCTCTCTCTCTCCTCCACACAGCCCCTTTGTGCTCCATTACCCAAACCTCCTCTATTGGAGATACTTTCTTCAGTTTGCTTTCTTGTTGGTCTCAGGCAAAGCAGTTAAACTCCTGAGTCTTAAAACCATGGTGGATAATAGCAGAAATGCCTTACATGGCTATGTGAGGTATGGCTAAAATAAAATCTAGCCCGTATTGAGCACAGTGCCTGATAGACAATACACATAATGGGGAAAAGTTTTTTCTCTGCCATCTTAGGTTCAAATCTGTAGACTGTAAATTAACTGACAAAAGATTAAGAAGAGAAAAGACATACAATATTTATAATATTGTTATGTGCAGAGAGGCTTCACAGAAAAGAAGTAAAAACCCAAAGAATGTTAGACTTGGGGGCTAATACACCATTTTAACAAAGGGTGAGAAATTGTGGAGAAGTGACTAGAAAAAGGAAGGAGGGTTTGGGCTTCTGGGGTCAATAAATTATGGAAGGAGAACTAGCTAATATGTAGGGAAAAGTAATGGAAGATAAGAGTTATTTTAGTAAGGTTCATTTATGTAAACTTAGCTCTAGTTCTCTGTCTGTGGTGATAAGAGTCACTCTCCTCATCCTGGTATGGGGACTGGGGTTGAGGATATTTTAGGCCACTGCACAAAGGGAAATTTGTGCTCTGCTTTTAGGCAGAAAAGGGGAAGGCAGAGAAGCTTTCTTACATGTGTTGATTCTCAACTGCCTTTAGCTCAAAATAATCCTCATCCCAAAGTAGCATATTTTGAAGTGGCATATTCTGGACCTCTCCATATGTGTTCAGTAAATTTTCTGTATGCTCCGTAAATGTGGTTGTTATTGTTATCTTAAAGAGACCCATATTCATGTGAAAATACCACTGGTCTGAATTCTAAGAGGATAAACACCTTCAAAGGGTGAAAAGAGTGTGATTCCACCATGCTTGAGTGGATGACTTAAGACTAGCTGAGGACCCAGATGGGGAGAGTTTGGGGTAAAGGAGCAGACATGGAATTGAACCTGTGACTCATGAGAGGGCCTGGAAACACCACAGCAAAAGCACCGGTGGTAGGATCCGATGGCAGAGCCAGTAAGGGGTGAGGCAGTTGTCATTTCTAACAGTTGATCTTCATCTAAAGCAGACACCTGGTAGCCGAGGGGATGAGGAAACTAGGTTTGGGAATAAACAGAATCATAAAGGAGTAGCAGGCATGTGGGAGAAAATAGTTTAAAAAGTAAATAACTAAGCCGTGGGAACCTAGAGACTTGGGAGCCACTTTCTTGGGACAAACCTGTATTTGTTCTTTGCCTGAAGCCAGAACAAGACCCATGTAAGCTCAGTGAAGGAGTGTGGGAGACAGTCAGAGGTGACATCTGAGGCAGAACCAAGCCAGGCAGTAAATCAGTCAAGTCAGGCAAAAAGACCTACTATAGGTAGTTCCAGAAGCTCTGAAATTTTAAAATAAGAATGGCTTGGGAGCAGTAATCAGGTTGGAAGCTGCATTAGTATTACGCAATACTGAGAAGAGCTAAATATTCATATAAAAGACTAGTAGGTGGTGTTTGTTCTATTTGACTTAGTATTTAGAGGCATTTTGTAGGGTGAGGGTTCCCAGGGTACCTATTTCCCCGTATTGCCAGAAACAGAAGTCTGAGACCAGACATCTATCTAGTCTGTAATGAAAAGCCACATTTGGTTGATCTCAGCCAAGCTTCATAGAGCCCAGAAATAGCAGACATTTGCTTCAGATTCATCTTTCTCATCTCCACCGAGATCCGTTTTTTCATAATGCTGCCCTCAGGCCACTCATATTATAATACAGGTTCTTATGCCGCATTCCTGGACCCCCTGAGTCAGAACCTCTGGCGGTGTAGCCCAGAAATCTGTACTGTTTACAAGTCTTTTAGTAATCTTTATCTCTATCATTGTGAGTTATTTGTCTGTGCAACAGTAGATGCTCAATAAATGTTCATTTGTTTTTTCCTCCATGTTTTTAAAGAACATTTGAAAAGATCCTTGCCCCTGGAGAATTATCTCCCAGCTCTTACAAAGCCGAGTATCAGAAAGAAATTGAAATGGACTCCTTTACTTGCATATAAATGCCTGCTGTGATCTGAATGTTTGTGCCTTCCCACAAAGTCCTAATTATCAGTGTGAACATGATTAAAGACTTTATAAAAGAGGCCTAAGAAAGACTCCCTGTCCCTTCCACAATGTGAGGACACAGCAAGAAAATGCCTTCTATGAGCCAGGAAATGGACCCTCACCAGATACCAAATCTATTGGCACCTTGTTCTTAGACCTTCCAACCTCCAAAATTGTAAGAAATAAATTTATATTGTTTGTAAGTTGCCCAGTTTGTGATATTTTCTAATAGCAGCCCAAAACAGACTGAGACAATACCACTGCCCTGGCTGTTTCCAAAGGAGCTGTGTTCAGTTGTCTCTTTTATTTTACATAACTCCAACCTGTAAAATGATCATGGAAAGTCAAAGATCTAAGCATTCTGAGTTTTTTTTTTTAGCTTTTGTATGTTTCACTGACTTTGTACCTTCAGTGCCTGGCACACAAAAGGTACACAATGAGTACTTATTGTCATGTATTGAGTTTTAAAATAAGACTCAAACTAGAATCTCGGCTTAGTTTATTGGTACAATTCTATTCATATCATTCATCATTTATCAGAAGTTCTACAGCAAAAGTTCAGCAGCTTTAGTCTCGATTATCAAATAGCATTGTTCTTAGTGTTCTTTCTGTGCACTTCACTAATCACTGTGACTGAGTAATATATAATTATCAGAGCAAGCTTTGCATTCATATGAGCACTTATTGCATCTATGCATGCCTATTAAGACATGCCACAATTTTTAACAGTAGGAGAAAAAAAATATTAAAATTGCCATGGAGATTTTATTTGCTGTTGTTTATGAAGTGTGCTCCAATTAAGACCATCAGTCTTGAATTCATTTTTGATCATTTCACTCTAACTACACTCTTAAAATAATTCCTGAATAGGATACTAGTTTTCATCACTCACAATGGAGAAAGACAATATCAGAAAAGGAAAATAATCAGCACTGAATTCATCCAAAAAATTTTATGTGGATTTTTGTGTGATGCCTTCAAATAGCATGTACTACGTATCAGGTACTATTCTAGCAGGTGGGGCATTCAACAAAGAGAAGCACAAGATCTCTTCTCTTTGGGCATCTCATAGGAGAGATACAAGTATTTGCAAATAGTTGCCCAATGGACACCACTGCTTGTTCTCTCTCTCTTGTTCACCCCATACTAGTTAATAACACGGATCCAGGAAAAGTAAGGGGACACAGTATGTACAGCAACCTGAAGAGTGGCGTGTTCTGTTAACCACCCAGAGTCAGTTAGGAGAAGAGGTGGGCTGGTAGATGGAAAGCAATGCTTCCTACTCTGGGGGAATGCTCTCTCTAGAGGAGAGAAAGGAATTGTAGTACCATCAGCATTTCCTTAAGAAAGGACAGTGCATATATGTTACATCATGAATGGGGCACAGGGTGGGATGCCTGGCCAAAGACTGGTACACAGGACAGGCTCAGCAGTCAGCTGTCTGGCTTGGTGTTAGCACTGGGGTTTCCTGCAGCCCTGGAATGAGCACCATGAAAACATCCCTGACCTCTAGAAGCTTGCAGTACAGTTGAAATGACAGAATAAATGAACCGTCCAATTAGAGAGCATGGAAGGACCAAACCGCAGTGACGGTAAGTTTATTGTCCAGTCCCGCTCCCCACTAGCAGCAAGTCAGCTGGTAAATTGCTGAAGCTCCCTTGGTCTCTCCTTTTATTACAGTGAGGATATATTCGTATCCCCAACCTTTTGTGTTGTGGTGTTCGATGAGGGGACATGGATAAAGTGCTTGGGAGGCAGCCATAATACAATGCATGCTCTACACATGTGAGCTCTGCCTATTCTTTGCTGAGCGGCAACCACAGAAATCTGCCCAGGGGCCAATACTGTGCCTGAGAGCTCTCTAAGTTAAAAGAGATTCCCAAACAGCACTCACTTCATGCTACAAGAGAAAGAGGTGGTGGTTTTCAAGAAGAACAGCAGACGTTCATGACTGTGCAGGGAAGGCATCCTTACCTTCTTGTTGGGAGCAGGTTTGTAAGTAAGCGTGCTACTCCACAGGTGTAAGCTAGCGACAAAAGGTCATCCTCTCCAAGATCAGTGGCAAAGAGACAACGGTCAAGATGATATATGTTTTTTCTCAAAAGAAAGATTCCTAATTCCTTCCCATGAAGACCACATTTTAGTAGCAGCCTAGTTGAATTAAAGGCATCTCAGGGTTTAATTTAAAGAGAAAATAAGGTTTGCCACAGTAATTAACCAAAAAAGAGACAAGATGTCTTAGAAGAGAGATTCAAATTATCCCAATGCTGAAGTTAATAGGAATGCTTTTTTGCTTTTCTCCCTAGAGGTTATGTCGATCTGGCAAATTAGTAATGTGCCTCAGCTCATTGCTATTCTATGCCGAGAACTTGTGCTGCAAGATAAAAGAATGTGACTGTGGAAGCAAACCCTACAATAATGCCTTTCCCTGAGCTTCTCTAGGGGGTATCTGGTTTATTCACCATTCCCTTTCTCAGCCTAGTGATTCCTGAGCACTCATCCATGAATCCCTATTGTAAAAGAAAAGGTAGATAGTAAGGTTAATTTTCATACCACAGGCAAGAAAGTCAAAAGAGTCATAGCCTAAGGAATAGTCATAAATAACCAAGAAAACAACCAGGTAAGGAAGACCCAGGGACACCCAGTTGCTACATAGTACCCCCCGCAACCCAGTCCCATCTCCAGGAAGCCTGACTGCCCTTCCACCAGGCTTTCTTTCCTTCATTTATTCATCCATTCTTTTATCATTTGTCAGATATTGAATGGCCATCTGTGATGTTTCGGGCACTCTGCCACCCATTCGAGGTACAGGCATAAATTAGACAGGCACTGTGTGTCTTAGCTGGGGTTAGGTGTTCCCCAGCTCCAGTCTTCTGTAAATCTGTCCACCTCTCTCAGAAGCCCAATTATAAATTCTATCTTTATTGTTCCTTGAATACTGTTTTTTTTTTTTTTAATATGTCCTTTCGTTTTTTCTGGATCTACTTAATAGACATTTCAGATATTAAGTTAAATATTTTTTCAGATGATCAAATCCAGTCTCACAGCTTGAAATTCTATCTACATACCAACAACTACTAACCAATTCTTTTTTGGATTCTAGAATTTTATATTGAAATGCTTTCTGGATGTCTCTACTTGTAGAGACTTGTAGATCTCTAACAGAGATCTCAAAGTTAACATGTCCAAAATTCAGCTCCCAATTTTTCCCCTCAAAACCTCCCACAGACCTCCATCTTCATAAATACAATCTCCCTTCCTCCATTTGCCCAGAAAAGGAAGAATAAAGTCACCTTTGACTCTTCTCTTTCACACACACCCCCGTATCCAATTCAGTCACAAACGTTGCTAGTCTTCTACCTTTGTGAGATTTTGAACATCACCACTGGTCTAAACCATCATCTTCTTTTCTGAGAAATATTGAAGGATCCTTCTAATTGGTCTTCATGCTTTCTTTCTTGCTTCCCTTCTGTGTGACAACTTGGAAAAAAAAGTTCCAAACCTATCACAGGTAAGCATTAAAAGTGTTTGCTTGTTGAATAAAGAATGTTGGAAATTTCTCATAATCCAGCAGGTTTGGTATCCTATTGCTACATCAACTGGATGGTTTCTTTCCTGAACTTCAACATATGGTAGTTCAACAAAGAAAAATCACACCATGCTTTGGACTTAAATTCTAGGGACTCCCAATACCATGTTAATTAACTAGATCTGAGACCTGGGTCCGCAGCGACCCCGGGTGGAGGAGACGTTGCGGCTCTCTGGGCTCGTGTTTTCGCTGCTGGAGCTCATGGGCGGCGTGTGTCTTAACCCAGCAGTAGGACTGAGCTGGCCGACGTTCCTCTTTCTAGAAAGGCCTAGGCGAGGCCTAGGATGAGGGCGGCGGAGAACGCGGGGAGGGAGCCCACCCGCGAGGAGCCGTCTGCCGCGACGCAAATGCAGCCCTGAGGATTTGGCTACTGCATATAACAACAGGGGGCAAATCAAGTACTTCAGGGTTGATTTTTATGAAGCCATGGATGGCTACACATCTGCCATAGAAGTCCAACCCAATTTTGAAGTTCCATATTACAACAGAGGGTTGATACTGTATAGGCTGGGATATTTTGATGATGCTTTGGAAGATTTCAAGAAGGTCTTAGACTTAAATCCTGGATTTCAAGATGCTACTTTGAGCTTAAAACAGACTGTTCTAGACAAAGAAGAAAAACAAAGAAGAAATGTTGAAAAAAATTATTGAGATTTTTAACTTAATGGAAGTATTGATTCATGATCCTTACATCTGCATCTAGTGATCAGTAATTTAAAATAGATATTGAGCTATTTTGATTTATATTTAAGAAATTAATACATTAGCACTGAAAGTTAAATAGTGTGTTTAAGGTAATTTCAGGTTGAATGGATTTTTTTTATGAAGTGTAAATAATACCAATGTATAAGTGTATATTATTATATTAAATATTACAGAAAAAAAAAATTAACTAGATCTACTGGGCTTCCTCCTTAAATGCTCTGTGGGTCCACCCCTCAAAAGGAGATGGTGCCCAGTAGTGGCTGCCACCTTCTTCTCAGAGTAGAGGCTGCCACATCCTACCTCGCTCTGTCACTCCTGTGCCCCGGCAGACCCATCTCAGTCATCTGCTTTGTGAATTCCAACTCCTGCTGCTGCTGTAGGCTCCAGATGAACAAGCAGCCTCCCTTGTCTGTTTTCTGGCTCATTGATTCCTCCACTTGACTTTAAATTCTAACCAAATACCTTTTCCTACTTCTTTCCTGGGATTCCTTTGTTCCCTGCCTCTGTGCTGTATGTCTGAGTGCTGTCATTATCACCCAACTCAGTGGAGGCATTTCAGAAGAGACTTGAGACAAAACACGAACATCATAATGAAATTATATATCTTTATGGCTGCCATTATCTTAATATAAAGAAGGAATGACTTTTAAGGGATTAATAAATGATGTTGAGAATTTAGGAATGTTAATAAATATGTGTGAGTCTGCTTTCTGTTAAAATTTACAGCTTATAGGAATAAAGCTTGGCTACTTTATATAAGGAGAAAAAGAACAAGAAAGAAAGAAATCACTGACAAACTTCCCAGGAGCCAATTCACAAGATTTTTTTTAAACAACATTATTTCTTCAAGTAAAGAGTTGATGTTTAATCAAGTCTTTCATACTTTTTTGTAAAATGCATTTCCTTAAATTTGATTATATTCAGTTGTTCTTGAGAAAAACTCTCCAAATTAGAAAAAATAGTGATAGATTTCTAAGAAGGCATATTTTCAAGATGTGCATCAAGTTACTGCTCATGCATATTTATTCACATTCAGATCAGAGTCTTATTGACAGAGAAACTAGCTTTTTTCATTTCTGTAAGTATCAGAACATTCAAGGTCATTTAACAAACAAACAACTGATACATGCTAGGAACCACTTTAATATTTAGGAATCGATGGCCACCAAACCAGAAATGCCAAAGAATTATGGCAGCCAAAAACTCAGTAGACTATTTCCTGCCATATGGTTGGGTGTGTCCACAGTGTGTACTTCCGGGCTGCGGTCTACCACTTCTAGTCTATTAGACACAGGGGCAGCTATTGAAGTTCTACTCAGCATAGTGGATAGCAAACTTCTGAAACAAAAACTGTCTCAAGATATGATAAAATAAATACACATAGGGAGAGGATTCTGGCAAGATGCTGAAACAGGAAGCTCCAGGCATCTGTTTCCCCATCCAGACAACAACTGCACTGGCAGAATCTGCCTGATGTAACTGTTTTGGAATTCTGGAATCTATTGAAGGATTGCAACCTCCAGGGAATGTCTTAGAAGTAAATTTCAGTTAATTTTGGTCAACTTGGACTCAGCACAGTAGTAACTACCTGTTGACCACTCCAGCCCTGTGGCAGGCGGCTGTGCACATCACTTAAAGAAACCTGTATACAGTTTGTGGGAGCCAGGGTGGGCAATAAGGACCCAGTCCTCCAAATATCTGTGTTGTGATTACTGATTGCTACTTCTCATCACAGAAGTATAGACAAAGAGGCAGGTGGCCATTGCTATTGTCCCACCCTCATAATTGCTAGCCTCTCTCTGGCTAAAGTGACTTCCAGGGTACTTAAAAGCCCAGCATTATTTTTCCTCCCTTTAATTTTTATCTTTTCCCCTTTTGGGAGACATCCATTAGAGACTGGAACATTCCAAAGTGACTGTATGTATGGGGGACATTGGAAGGTGACTATGCATGCCCAAGGAAAGGTACAGGCTCAGAAAGACCTGAGAAGACCTTAAGTTTACACCTCAGGCTAACCCTCAGCACTGAGACAGCCTGCAACAATTTAAAAAAACAAAACCAGTAAGCAACAACAACAACAAAAAACAAAACCAAGAAAAAAAGCCCAGCAAACCCTAGAGAAGGGAGAGAACCTAATTTCCAGTGTTATCAATCATTAACTTCAAATGTCCATTTGTAACAAAAAAAATCAAGAGACATGCAAAAGAAAAGGAATGTATGGACCATTTTAATGGAAAAAAGAAGAAGCTGCTCCAGAAAAAGATCTGATGTCAGATCTACTAAACAAAAACAATTATCTTAAAGATACTCAAAGAGTTAAAGAAAGATGAAGAAAAAGCCAAGAAAATGACCTAAGGACAAAATAGAAATATTTGTAAACATATAGAAAACCTATGAAGAAACAAAAAATAAGTTTGATGCTAAAAAGTGCTGTAACTGAAATAAAAAATTCACTAGAGGATTTTTCAAAGGCTGATATGAGAAGGAAGAAGAATCAACAAATATGAAAATAGGACAAAGGAAATCATTGAATCTGAGGAACAGAAAGTAAAATGATTGAAGAAAAGTGAACAGAGCTTAAGGGACTTCTGGAACACTGCTGAGCAGAACAACCACATGTGTGGTGGTAGGCTCAGAAAGAGAAGATAAAACAGGGAAGATAAGCTATTAGGAGAATCGATGGCCAAAATCTTTATAGATTTGATAAAAAACGTAAGTAAAAATATTCAAGAAACTCAGTAACTCCAAGTATGATGAACTCAAAAAGATCCACCCTGAGACACAATATAATCAAACTGTCAAAAGCCAAAGACAGAGTCTTGAAAGTTGCAACAGAAAAGTGATTCATCACATAAAATGATCATCAATAAGATTATGGGTCCAAAGATACAGTTAGATAGGAGGAATAAGTTCTAGTGTTTGATAACACAGTAGGGTGACTAGTTAACAAGAAAATATTTCATATTTCATGATAGCTAGTAGAGAAGATGTAAAATACTCCCAACACAAAGAAATGATAAATGTTCAAGTTGATGGATATCCTAAGTATCCTGATTTGATCATTGATTGTATATTGAATACACAGCATACACATTGTATATTCTTGTATCAAAATATCACATGTATCCCACAAATATGTTTAATTACTATATATCTCTAGAAACATTTAAAAATAGTAAATAATAAATTATGAGATTAAAAAGAGAGTCTCATCATAAATATTGGAGACCAAAAGGCAGTGGGCTGATATATTCGAAGTGCTAAAAGAAATAAAAATATGAACCTCAAATTCTATATTTGGTAAAATTGTCCTTCAAAAGTGAAGGAGAATTACAATATTCCCAGATTAACAAAAGCTAAGGTAATTTGTTACCTCTAGACATACCCTGCAAGAAACGCTCAAGGGAGTTCTTCAGGTTGAAATAAAAGGACGCTACTCAGTAACTCAGAGCCATATGAAGAAATAAACATCTCAGTAAAGATCGACACATAGGCAATTACAAAAGCTAGTAATATAACAATGGTTTGTAACACCACTTTGTTTTATACATGATTTAAAAGACTTTTTTTTAAATTTAAACAACAGCAATTTATTTTCTCACAGGTCTGAAAACTGGAAGTTGAAGATCAAGTTGTCCATAGGGTTGGTTTCTTCTGAGGGTCATTCACTTGTATAGATGACCATCTTCACAAGATCCTCAGTGTGTGTAAAAGACTATTTAAAAAACAAAATAAGAAACAATTAGTCTAAAAGCTAGAATTACTGTAACTTTGGGTTGTAACCACATTTTGTTTCTTACATAATCTAAGAGACTAATTCACTTTTAAAAACTATTGGTTTATGTTGTTGAACATACAAAGTATGCAGATGTAATTATGGGATATTAACAACTGAAAGGGGGCAGAGACAGAGATGTAAAGAAGCAGTGTTTTCATATGTTATTGAAGTTAAGCTGGTTTAAACACAAATTAGAGCACTATAACTTTATAATATTAAAGATAATCTCAAGAGTGACCACAAAGAAAACAGCTATAGAATATACACAAAAATAAGAAAGGAATTTAAATATTTCACTATAAAAAATTAAACACAAAAGAGGACAGTAATGCAAGAAAGGAAAGACAGAAAAGCCATGTAGAAAACAAATAGCAAAATGACAAAAGTAAGTCTCTCCTTATCAGTTAGCCTTAAGAAGGAAGGAAATTCCAATACATGCTACAGCATGAATGAGTCTTGAGCACATTATTCTCAGTGACATTAACCAGTCATAAAAAGACAACGACTGCATTATTCCACTTGCATGAGGCAGATAGAGTAGTCAAAATCATAGATACAGAAAGTAGAATGGTGATTTTCAGAGGCTAGAGGAAGCGGGGATGGGGTTATTGTTTAATGGGTGCAGAATTTTGATTTGGGAAGATGAAATTCTAGAGATAAATGATGGTAATAGTTATATAACAATCTAACTGTACTTAATACCACTGAACTGTACACTTAAAAATGGTTACGGTGGTAAACTTTAAGTTATTTGCATTTTACTACAATAAAAAATTAGAAAAGAAATGAATACACTAAATTAATGAAGCATTATGATCTATTTAAGGTTGAGGAATTTATCCAATGTCCTTGAAAGGAAGACACAATGTTTTAGTATTGTTGTACTTCATGAACGCTTGAAGTGATACTATGGTGTCCACAGATATTTCTTTCTACTATTATCAATGTCAGAAAGATAATATTGGGTAAGATGGACTATGATGATGGTCTATGTCTTTATGTTAAATTTCATACTGAATGCTTAGTCCAGTAGAAATACAATTGTTTTGGCTTGTTTGAGTGAGGAAAGCCTTTGAATGCTGTGCTTTGCAACAACATGGGTGAATCCCAAAATATCATGCTGAGTAAAAGAAGCCTTATCAAAGAGTACACACGGTAGGATTCCATTTACATGAATTTCGAGAAGGGGCAAAATTAACCTATGGTAGGAAAAAAAATCAGAAGAGTCATTGCTTTTTTAAATTTACAGTGGCTGTAAATTTAACTGAAGAAAACAGATTGGCCAGACATGGTGGCTTATGTCTGTAATCCCAGCATTTTGAGAGGCCGAGGTCGGTGGATCACTTGAGGTCAGGAGTTTGAGACCAGCCTGGCCAACATGAAGAAACCTTGTGT